CAGGATTGCTAAGCGGAAAAAAAAATTACAACTTTTTATCCTCCTGTTAAGATTAATGGCATGATTTTTCTTCTCTAATCTGTTAATGTGGTTAATTACATTAACAGATCTCCTAATATTAGGTTGTCTTTCTATTCTTTAAAAGAATCCGAGTTGATAATGATATATTACTTTTTATACATTTCTTGGTTTGTTTTCATGTTATTTTATTCAAAGTCTCTTTATCTATGTTCATGGGTGATCCCAAATTAAACTGCTTCTCACCACCTACTCTGCTACTGCTCTAGTTCAGGCCACCATTGTTTCTGGCATGTCCAACTGTAAAAAGCCCTTGACTGATTTCCCTGTCTCAATGCTTGCTTCCCTATAATTTGTTCTATACACGCTTCAAACACACACACACAGAGCAAAGCAGAGAAAATAGTATAACAGAATTTGATGTGTCTACCTCTACCCATGACTATTTCCTCTAAGTTAATCTTAATTAAATATATGAGAAGTTTTCTATATCGTTATTGCTTTCAAAGCAACCCAGTGCTTTTTTTTGGTGGTGCGGGGGTGGGGGTTGTTCATCATCTGTATTATTTCTTTGTGTTTTCTGTTTCTCTTCATTTTTGCTCTTATCTTGATCATCCCTTTCTTTACTTTCTCTGGTCCTTCTGATTTCTTAAGGTAGATTCACTAGGAAAGGTGGTTTTCCTTTTCTTAATAAGGCTACCTTTATGGGCTGGATGCAGCGGCACATGCCTGTAATCTCACCTCTATTGGGAGGTTGAGGCAGGTGGATGGCTTGAGCTTAGGAGTTCTTAGACCGGCCTGAGCCATAGTGAAACCCTGGCCTCTACTAGAAATAGAAAAAATAATGGGGTATAGTAGCCTATTTCCCTCCAAGTATCACTTTAGGAGCCCAAAGGACAATTTCATAACAGTTACACTATTGGTCAGTTTTAAATATTTTCTAATATCATTTAAGATTTCTTTTTTTGTTTCTTAAAATTTTTGTGGTATATATTTCAATTTCCAATTGTAAAACTTTGTTGTTTTTAATTTCTAATTTAATGCCTCATGTTGAAAGAAGACCGTTTATAGGATATGAAATCTTTCTGTGTCTCCTGAGATTTTCCCTATGGCTCAGCACAGTCATATTTCTAGATACGTGCTCCATTTATGATTTACTAGGTGTTAAGTATATAAGTCCATGTGCGCTTGCTAGCTTATGGTTGTCAGTTGGGTTGCTCTAATTTTTTAATCATATGGTATGTTATTGGTCTGATTGATCTTTCACTTATTGAGAATCTATGAGATTGTTAATTTCTCCATGTAGTTCAGTTTTTGCCTTGTGTATTTTGAGTCCGTGTTATTGTTATATACAAAGTTAGAGGTGCTACATTCTCCACTTGAGATCCTTCATTTTTTCGTATAATATTTATCCCAAATAAAAATGTTTGTCTTACAGTCCATTCTGTCAGTGTTTTATAGCTCTATCACCTTTATCTTTATAAGGATTTTCACATAACATATTTCCCATTACTTTACTTTTATTTTTTCTCCTTTTGAAAAAAGTTTCAGATTCATATAAGAGTCCAAACGATTAGTTTATACCGTTTGTGTTTATTAAGTCCCTATTGTAGTTGTGTTTCACATATACCCTTACACTGTGCCCACTAGGTGGGAGCACACCAATCCCCTTCTCTCCACCTTTATCCCCTCCCTCCTCCCCCTTTCCCTGCAACATGAATTAAATTGAGTTTTTCTCTTGTGTGGCTGTGTATTAGATCATCTGCTGGCTTCATATTAGTACTGAGAACATTGGATACTTGCTTTTCCATTCTTGTCCTTCACTCAGAAGAATGTGTTTAAACTCCCTATCACTTTACCTTTAAACTGTTGGTATTTTTATGTCGTTAGATGTGCCTCATGTATATACATAGCATATAGCTACATTGTTTATCCTTCTGCTATATTTAGTTTATTTATTCTATCTTATTTTATGTATTCTTTTCTTCCTGTTTGTCTTTTTTTTTTTTTGAGACAAAGTCTCACTGTGTCAACCTCCATAGAGTGCTGTGGTATCACAGCTCACAGCAACCTCAAACTCTTAAGCTTAAGTGATTCTGTTGCCTCAGCCTCCCAAGTAGCTGAGATTACAGGTACCTTCCACAATGCCTGGTTATTTTGTTGTTGTTGTTGTAGTTGTCATTGTTTGGCAGGACTGGGCCAGGTTGGAACCCACCAGCCCTGATGTATAGGCTGGCGCCCTAGCCACTGAGCTACAAGCGCCAAGTCTTCTCCCTATTTTTCTATCCTTCATTTTCCCCTTTGCCTCCTATAAGACTAAAACATTTTCTATATTCACATTTGTTTTATCTCTTGTTTTATAAGTTTTACCTTGTTATTTCTGTTATGCATACCTGGCCTAAAGTCTAATGATGCTCACTATCTCTGCTCTCCTTCCAGATAATACAAGAATGCATTAACCCACGTTTCTACACCCTCATCCCATTTAGGTTACTCTAGTTCAAGCGTCCTCAAACTGTGACCCACAGAGAACATTTATCCGGCCCGCTGGGTGTTTTTGCCACCGCTGCCTGTCCTGCTTAATAGCCGACTCATCCTAGGGTCTGCAGTCCAGCCCTCCAGTGGTCTGAGGGACAGTGAACTGGCCTCCTGTTTAAAAAGTTTGAGGACCCCTGGTAGTTATTTGTTCTGCCTTGATTTTATGGCTCTTACTATTATTTGTAGGCACCTATTCTTTGTTTAGTTTACCCTTATGTTTGCTATTCTTTCTTGCTTCTTTCTACTGTATTCAGTTTCAGCTATCTGAAGAGCTTCTTTTAGTAGTTCATAAGGATTCGCTCAATTACTAATTCAAAAACGCTTATTAAGCATCAACTATATATGAGGTAGTTTTGGGGTGCTGAGGATATAGCAACAAACAGAATAAAGTCTCTGTTCTCATAGAACATCCAGGCTGTTGAAGTAGAAGAAATAGTAAACAAAGATATATTTTTCAGTGATGTGAAAAAGAAGAATAACTCATGGTACGGGAAAGGGAGGTCACTATTTTTGATAGGATGATGAAAAAACATGTCTCTAATATGATAACTTTTGAATGAGACTTAAAGGTTGTAAGTGACTCACCAATGAGAAAATCTGGAGTAACTTGTCTAAATTTTTCATGTAACAAAATTTGTACTTGTGCCTCCTAAATTTATACAAATGAAGAGCCATATGTTGACTTCACCTTGAAAATCTAGTTTGCTATAGCATTCTGGGTTGACAGTTATTTTTCCATCAACATTTTCAAGATGTATTTTGTCTTTTGGCTTTTATGGTTGCTTTTAAGAAATCTGCTATAAGTCAAATGCTCATCTTATTGTAGTTAATATATCCTTTATGCCTTGCTATTTTTAAGATCCCCTCTTCAGTGTTCATTAGCTCCATTATGTACTGGCTGGGTTCTATTTTAATTGATTGAGCTTGCAACTCTTTATGTTTCTTAAAGGGAAGGATGCATATACTCATATTGCAACAGTTCTGGGAAATATAAGATGTATTTTCCAGTTCATTGGGTTTTTATTTTCAATGACTATTTTTCTATTACCAAAGGTCAACTTCAAAGAGGCTCTGTTCATATCTGCTCTTTCTCCTTTCCCTCCATAACCTTTACATTAATTGTAGTCCTTTTATAATCTCTATTTTGTATTTATGTTATATGAAGTCCTTGGTGAGGCTCTGATTCAATTATGTATTATATTAGATGACTCTTGCTCATGACCATTTCATTAGGTATTTGTGGTGGTGAATACTGATCTTATTGTCAGTATTTATTTGTTGTTATGTCCCTCCAGAGTGTTTTTGTCTTTATTTATGCAAGTTGATTACTAGTTTCCCTAGTCTGAGACCAATCATATGTTAATTTCTCAACTTGTAGGCTTCAGATCAGGAAGACATAGATTAGGATTGAGGCTGCTAAATCTCAGTAGAAATACTTTCTCCCCCACACTTAGCCTTTCTGTTTTTGAAGTTTTGTATTGTGGGTGGGGTTTGTCAGCTCATTTGATCTAGTTTCCCCTTTTGCTGAAGGTGGATTCCTTCAAGATCTTGGATTTTGTAGGAGTCTAATTCCAGCTTTTCATCTGCCACAGTCCTAATTTACACTTGTAATCATGGTTATCAATATAGCCTTCTCTCCCTCTCAAAAGTGTTCCAGTTTAGATAATAAATTATAGCATCTTTCAATCTTTAGGCAAGAATGTATTTGGCATACTGGAGGAAGAGAGGCTAGACTGGCTCATCAGTAGAAGGAAGGGTATTTGGAAAAGAGCTCAGAGAGGAAGGCAGGGGCCAACTTACATTAGCAAAAGTTCGTTCCCAGTGTGATTGGAACCCAGTAGGGGATTTTAAACCAAAGGGTTTGTAGCAACTTCTGCAGGCTGCTGCTGCTGCTGCTTCTCCTCCTCCTCCTCCTCCTTCCTCTTCCTCTTCTTCTTTTTTCTAACCTGGTCAGTGTGAAGTGTCCTCATGCCTTGTGTAGTTTACTGGTCAGTCAAGGATATGGGCAGAGTTTGTATTCAGATTTTGGGACTTACCCACTCAGTAGTTTTCTTGCTTCCAAGACTTCCTCATGAATTTTCAGCTTTTAGTCTTGAGTTTTTCCTTGATACATTAAGCTAATGCATTTACAGATTTCTGCTACTTGAGTTGTAATGGACTAAGAAATTCCTTCAGTCTAAAAACACACAAACTCACAAACATCACCCAGTTTAGTTCTTTCATTTGGTGGAGCACTACCCTATTGTTTCTATCTGCTTTTTGTAAATTGAGCCCCAGGGTCTCTACCATTTATATGTAGTATAATGGTCACCCAGGATTTGGGGAAAAATATATACCCAGGTTTAGGGGATCCATCCCTTCTGTGACTCTCTTGCTTTTAGGAGTCTCACTCCTAATACTCCAGAACTTTATTGAAACATTGTTCTCTCTCTTTTTGCTCCTAGGAATACACTATTGACGTATTTTTTCGACAGACATGGCATGATGAAAGACTGAAATTTGATGGACCCATGAAGATCCTTCCATTGAACAATCTCCTGGCTAGCAAAATCTGGACTCCTGATACCTTCTTCCACAATGGCAAGAAATCGGTGGCTCATAACATGACCACACCCAACAAGCTGCTCAGACTGGTGGACAATGGGACCCTTCTCTACACAATGAGGTCAGAAAGTGGTGGGCTATGCTTAAAGTATGTTGGGGGTATTACTGAGATTGAAAACAGAATTTTTTAGTGAAGTTATTAAAAATTCTGTCAAGCTTATAGATTAGAAATGCACATATATGTAGATACTTCCTAACACATTTGTGTGTATGCATACATAACACATATTCTAGATGTACATACGCTATACATAGTTACACATAGGAACATTCTGAGACACACAGAGATATGTGTTCATGATGCATTAATGTATACATACTCAAAGACACAGTGGAATAACACAGAGGGACACACATATTCAAGGACACTTTATTACACAAAACTACAAACACATATAAACAGGCATGAACACTCTAATAATCAGAATAGACTAGGTTTAACTGCAGTAACAAACTGCCTCTATGACACAGTTATTTGAAACAAATGAGATAATAATCAGTATTTTCTGAAGCAGTGTCTTATGTGTATAAACAAAACATTATACTAACATTTATTTTATGCCACATTGCCTAAGATGCTGAGGAGTTTGATAGAAGTGAAGTTTCCAAACAAGATGATGCCTTTTAAACATCCTATACATATATATGTGGGCATTGATATCTTTATTGAATACAAAATATATATCATACTTTCACCCTCCCAATGCACAAAAACATCACAATTTTATGTATTTCATGACTCATTGTTGCTGTCATTAGTGTCATTAGGCATTGAATTTTGCTATCAAAAAGAATAACTTTGAAAGCATTTGTAGTGCAATAAGATTCTTTGCCCTAATACTAAAAAACTTTCTTGGTTCATGTGTTTGCTTTTATGCTTTCAACTGTTTCTCCACCAGAAGTTATTCTTTCCTGAAGCTTCCCCCTTCATTAATGAGTATTGAATTTGTGTAACTGAGTGAACTTTTTAAAAAAGTATAGGTGCAATCTTTCAGTACAGGTTCTATGGCAATTTGAAATGTTTGTATTTGTTATTTTGCACAATGAAACTCAAATAATGCATACTTGGTAAATGCGTGATGAACATACGAAATATGTTTGCCTATATACTAGTTCAGTATATTTAAAATATACATATTTCAAATTTGGTACTCATTTTTTTTTTCTACAAGAATTTGAGAGAGGGGAGACAATTGATCATATATGTATTTTTTTTTTTTTAAAGAAACAAAGTCTCACTTTGTCACCTTTGGTAGAGTGCCATGGTGTTACAGCTCACAGCAACCTCCAACTCCTGGGCTTAGGTGATTCTCTTGCCTCAGCCTCCCAAGTAGCTGGGACCACAGGCGCCCACCACAACGCCCAGCTATTTTTTATTGCAGTTTGGCTGGAGCCGGGTTTGAACCTGCCACCTTTGGTATATGTGCCTGGCACCCTACCCACAGAACCACAGGTGCCCGATCATATATGTATGTATATATTACATATATATACACCTCCTCTCCAGATTTTACATTTATAAATCAAATTACACACACATATATATATGTATATACAGATGAGTGTGTGTATATATATGTATGTATGTATATATCATATATCAGGGAGAGAAGGGTAGAGAAAAGAGAAAGCATGAGAAGAGAGGAAAAGTTAGGCTGGGTGTGGTGGCTCATGATCCTCCCACTCTGGAGGCCAAGGCCTGTGGATTACCTGAGCTCACGAGTTCAAGACCAGCCTGAGCAAGAGTGAGACCTCATCTCTAAAAAATAGCTAGGCATTGTGACAGGTTCCTGTGGTTAGCTAGCGGGGAAGCTGAGGCCAGAGAATCACTTAAGGCCAAGAATTTGAGGTTGTTGTGAGCTGTGATGTCACGGCACTCTAGCAAGGGTGCCAAAGTAAAACTCTGTCTCAAAAAAAAAAAAAAGAGGAAAAGCTGAGAAGATAAAGGAGAAGATAGAGTCAAATAAACACGCTAGATATTAGCATATTCTAAAGAAGCAGGAGAACTTGGCAAAGCAGTTATTGTAGATGGGACAAAAGAAGACAAGTCATAGAGAAGTAGAAGAAAGGACACTGGAGAAGATGAACAACAGGGAGGGAAATTGTGGATGGAAGAAAGACTAGTATCTTTTCAGTTTATTCATTCACCAAATATATTTTCATGTCTTAATATATACATGGCCCTAAACTAAATTCTGGATATGCATACATTAATGATAAATGATCTCTGTCTTTAGGACAATTATAATATAACTAGGGGAAAAGACTAATTAGATAATCACAAATAATATTAACTGAAATGCCAACTATATGGATAATTATGGGTGTGGAAAGGACGGTCATCTAACTTGTTCTTTTGGGTCATGTTGCTTCCCCTGGCCTCAGTGAGTAGTATTATGTCAGGTAGTCTTGTCTCCATCATTCTGTTCTTTCTTGAAGCTGATGTAGAAGCAAACACCCCACCTCCATCCAGAGATAGATAGTGAGAGTGAGAATAAACCTTTGTTGGTTTAAGATATTGAGATTTTCGGATTGTTTCTTAATCCATCTTGACTGATCAATTAAGGAGTAAAGAGTTTAAACAAGATGAGAATGACTCTCCACTGGGCAGCTACAAGTATTTACGAGACCTACTGATTAAAGTACATTGATTCTGTAGCCTGAGACTTTCTGGATTTACTTATCAATTCCAGGAGTCTTTTTGGTAGAGTCTTCATAGTTTTCTAAATACTAGTCATCAATAATAGCATCGGTATAGTACAAACAATATACCAGACACTGTTATAATCATTCTACTTTTACAGTCTACGTAACAACTCTATGATATAAGTACTGTTATCCATACTATACATATGAGAAAACTGAGACACAAACTGTGTAAGAAAAACTTTTAAGTTCACTTAGATAGTAGATGGTTAAACCAGAATTCATACTGTGGTAGTTTAGCTGCAGGTCATGCTGTTTACTATTATTTGCACATTTTTACAATGTTTTTAACTATTTCAAGAGATCAAGTAACACAGAGACTTAAAAATGTGTCTTAAGTTTGGTAACATAGAACCCATTAGTGTTCTTCATATACACTACTTCAGTGCTGTGGCTAATGCAATGGAGAGGTTTTAGGAATTGGAGTTGAGGTAGTGGGGACAGTATTTCCAGTAGAAATCTAGAAAATACTTTCCAGAAGCTTGTTTGAAAATGAAAGGAAGGGTTAACTAATGGCTACATTTAGAGGTTTAAAGAAAAAAACTTCCCTTTGTTTTTAATGGAGAGATGTGCACATATTTGTGAGATGGTACAGGAGTCAGCAGAATGACAAAGATTGAAGATACAGTAAACATAATGTTTTTATGACAGCAGGTTCCCAGAGAAAACCGTAAAGGGGATGGTATCCTTTACTTGTGAAGGAAGAAGGACATCTCTTCTTCCATTGCATGAAAGGTTATAAAGTTAGGTATCAGTGCTGAAGAGGGTTGGAGAGGATAGGAAAGAAGAGAAGTATGGGTGGATATAATGTATGAAGGAGAATTTGGAGAGAATAAAGCATTAGTGAAAGAATAGATGGAAGGTGGCATGCTTATAATAACATGCAGTAAGAGTTCTCACTTGTATAAAGAATGGAGTGGGGTAAATGCAGACAGAAGAGAAGACATATGGAAAGATGAGGTTGATAGAGGGACAGAATGAGGAAGAAGAGATGAGGATGAGTAAAGACAGTAAGCAAATGGAAGAGAAACTAGAGGGAAGGAGAACATGGTAGGCAGATGAATTGAACCCAGTAGAGGTTGCAAATAATAAAGGTGAAAGTATAGGGAATGGATGAGGAGAACAGGATAGAGAAGCTGAATATTAAAAGAAAGAGAGGAGAGAGGATAGGCTTGAAGGAGGGGTAGAGAAGAGAGATAGAGGATGGGAATGTTGAAATATAAAGATTGAGGAGGGCAGAGAATGAAGTAGAGCAAAGCACTAGCTACCTGAAAATAAAGTTGGATAAATGGGAAGATAGTGACCCTTGGTTTTTCATTTTAGTCTGAATTGGACAGAAAGTCAAGTTTGATGAGATGGGAGTCTATGTTGGATGACCTTGTGCTTATTCTGAAGTGCAGAATAGAAAAAGTGCAGAAGTACAGAAGTATGATGAAGCCATTGATCTACACAGTAGAGAGTTCACCTTGAATCCAGGAAAGTGGGTCTGGAGGGAGACATAGGCTCAAAACTGAGAGATGAAAGCCTGGCTTTTCTCTTTATAGCCCTACAATTGATTCACCTAGTGACCTTTCACAAGTCATAAACTGTGCTTTCTCCAGTCTGACAATAATGTAGCTGATGCCTGTCTTGCAGGTGCATGAAAAGTGCTAAGTGGATAAGGAATGCAGAACATGTAGGATTTTACAGGAAGGGTTATCCCTATCGTTAATCATTTCCGCCCTCAGAAATCCTATGTGAGTTCCATGGGAAAACTAGGGAAGAAAAACTTTGTAGAAAAATCTCAGCAGGCATTGCATGGGTATGTAACTGGGGCAGTTTAGAAAGAAGCCTTGCCTGGCCTCATCTTGGGACCTCAGAGCAATCATAAAAATGCAGACCAAAGTCCATTTCCTGCTGCTTACTTCAGCAGCACACATACAAAAATAGGAATGATACACAAAAAATTAGCAGAGCCCAGCCCCAGTGATACACACATTTATGAAGTGTTTTCCCTTATTCAGATGTGGGTCTATAGGGAACTTCACCTATATTAGTGGCATCTTATTTGTTTATGAGGATCTGGGTAAACATATTGATTGTATTGTTCTTTATTCTTACTTTATATACATGTTGCATACAGCATAACACAGTAAAAGAAAAAAAAGATCCTGCTAACTATCTTAATAGGAGGGACAAATATTTATTGGATTTGAAATTATTTTATCCCATTGACTTGAAACATTCATTCAGTACATTTACAAGTGTTTATTATGTTTAAGGTTCTGAGATGATTTGCTGAGATACAGCAATAAATAAGACATAGTTCACACTCTTCTTTTCTTTCTTTCTTTCTTTCTTTCTTTCTTTCTTTCT